CAGGCTATCTACCAGCCTATCTAAAACACGCGTAATGTCCGCTACCTTCGCACCAGGCAGACAAGTCACCATACGGTCAGTACGCGGGTTCGCCACCCAGCTGTCTACTTGCCTAAGGATCGAATCACCCACTACCAAGAGCCCCCCTCCCACCCTGCCCAGGGATGGTTCCTTGGTGCAAAAGGTTGGTCTTAAACTTAAAACTTAGTTGGTCTTAAAGTCGCCACTGGACTTGAACTTTTGTTCTATTGCTTCAGACCGACACGGCTACCGCACCTGAACCTGTGGTGTAGCAGTCAGAGTGAAGGAAGCAAATCTGGAAGACCGAGGCTGAAATCCCCACTCTGCCATAGCAGCTCACAGGGTGACCTTGGGCCAGTCACAGACTCTCAGCCTAACCTACCTCACAGGGTTGTTGTGATGATAAAACAGAGGAGAGGGAAACAAGGGGAGACACTTTGGGCTCACCTTGGTAGAGGCAGGGTATGAATGATATAAAAGCAGCCATTTGGAGAATGACTGAGCCAAGCCAGAAGACGTTTACACCGTGCAGTGACGGCGTGTGCAATTAAAATGAATATATGTTGTCTTCCCTATCCCCTATGAACATTGTTAGTCCCCTGTCTATAATGTGTAACTGTAAAACACTTTGAGCCCACTGGGGAAAACGATTAATAAATTTAAAGTATTATTATTACTAAAATGAAAACAACAATGCACGCCAACAGGAACCGCCAAATAAATTGTGCTGGGTATTTTGGGAAAGGCTGCAAAGGAAGGGGAAAACAAAAACAAAACCCTCTTCGTACCTGGGTTAAACATTCATTTTTGGGACTGAACTCAAAAGTAGCAAAGCCAGGGGTGGGCAGCTCTCAGCACCTGTGCCAACAAGCGGCCGTTTTTTTTTGGCATGCATGGCTGGCTCTCTACCCAAGAAACTGGCATGCCCCTGAGCCACTGGCAGAGGGGCTGGTGGCAGGAGAGAAGGCAACAGGGACAGCTTCTGCCTGTGATTGGCAGCCAGAGTCATGCAGCTGCCCAGTGATCCAGGCCACACCCACGTGCTGCCAGCAACGTTGCTGGGATTTGCCTGCCGAGCCAAGCCCATCCCTTTCCAAGGGAGAGTGTCCGCCTGTAGTTGCATCTTAATTATGGTCTCCTCCCATCCTTTTGATGGTTTGTATGCTGGATAGTGTAGCTCTGCATGCAAGAGGATCTGGGCGGGAAAGGGTTAAGAGAATCCTCCCACTCAGGGACACCCGGCCGTTGCCCCCCCCCCTCTCTTGGGTTAGATGCTGAGCCTCTCTGGCCCTCGCTTGCCTTCTGTTTCGTCTTATAGAGGACCTCTCTTCTTCTCTCTCTTGCCTGGTATGATAGAACAGGCCTGCTTGGACTTGCAGACCCCGTCCTGCCCACCCACTCCTTGGGGTTGCCAGCTCCTGGAGGGCTTTACCACTTCCTTCCCTTTGGGTACTCACTGCCACCACCTGCTCGTTTTAGGGGTTTTGTGAAGTCGCTCACATAACAAAGTAGTCGGAGAGCGATTCAGCAAAAGATCAGCTTTATTCAACGATTGTAACACAGCTCCAACACAGTGTCCCTTTTTAAACTCTCCCGGCCTTTACTGTACATTACCAACCAATGAGATTGTTTACATAAGGACCAATCATTGACGTTCCCGCTCAGGGAGCTTGCTGATATGTGATTGGTTGGTTCTTCCTGGGCTAGCCATGCGATTGGATGTATTTGGATCCTAGCCCAGGACAAAGCTTAACATTACATTTCTATGAGGTGATTCGCATACATGTTTAGGCATTCAATGACAGCTATTGAATACACTACAGGTTTCCCGCCGGGATGAACAGAATCTTAGTTCCCCTTCCAGGTTCTGAGGCCTGGCCTCAGGGTCTTCCGCTATCAAGCACCTGGTTACCACGGGGACCAAGTTCAGCTTTGGGGCTCCCCCTGGAGGAGTAGCTACGGGCTCACTGACTGCTTTCCTCCCAGCCTGGGGGTCCCCCTTACGATGGCGTGTCCACAGCAGCTGGGGGGGGGGGTGTCTATGTGGTACAGAGATTAAAGGCCAATCCTTCAAAGTCAAAAAAGAATTTATTAAAAGTAAAATATTTACAAGCCTACTTAAGTGCTGTACCAGTTCAGCAAACAGAATGCAAAGAAAATTTGGTCAGAAATGCATCCTCTTTTCCCTGGTTCCTACACATGCCCTAACTAGATGGTAAAATACAGAGCAGGCACTTAAAACTTAAAAGGTTGCATGATCTGAAGAAAAATGGCTACCACAGTGACCAGCCCAGCCACAGGGCTGCCCCTTGTCGAGGGTCCAGCACCAAGAGAGAAAAGAGAGCTCTCCTCCTTGGAGCAAGAACTTTTATTAAGCCTGTGTCACCACCCACTTTATATCACTTGCTCCACCCCATTTTGCCTAGCCTTCCCAGGTCACAGGTGCATGCTGGGAGTCCTCCTGGAAGGTTTTCTGGGAAATCTCCAGGAACCACCTGGAGGCTTCCTAGCACCAAAACCCACAGGTAGATTTCCTTCTAGGCCCCAAATTAGCATTTGTATAGCTTGATTCTGGCAGGCAATTGAGTTGGTTTCCTGCCTGCCAGAGAAAAGAAAAATCACTTCTAAACTCAGAGAGGAAAGCTGTTTCTGCTGCTTCCCAACCTCCCAGGAGAAAAGGCATTCCTCCACACCTGGGCTTGGAGCTGTAGCAAGTTAACCTTTTTGAGGTTAATCTGTTCACAATAAGTTAAATGTACCATGTAAGGTTACCCTGTATAAATGAATATATAGACAGTATCTCCCAATCCCTGACATTGCAGTCTCTCACAATTCCTTCTTTGGTACGAAGATTAAGGGGTTTTTTGTCCAGCCACCCAACCCTCCTTAGTTGAATGGAGAACAATGAGCACACATATAGTAAATTTTAAAAGGGGAACTTCTGTTGTATGTTGAAGTGAAGAGCAGATCTTGAGTCTGAAAGACAGACGGAAGGGCTGTGGCACAGTGACACAGCATGGAGAGCCAGTTTGTTGTAGTGGTTAGGACCACGGACTCTAATCTGGGAGAACCGGGTTTGATTCCCCACTCCTCCACTTGCAGTTGCAGGCATGACCTTGGGTCAGTCACAAGTTCTGTCAGAGCTGTTCTCTCAAGAGCAGTCCTCGAAAGAGCTCTCTCAGCCCCACCTACCTCACTGGGTGTCTGTTGTGAGGAGGGGAAGGAGATAGGAAATGTTTTCAAAGATAGCCAGTGTAACTGTGTGAAGGGAGGGGTATAAATCCAATCTCTTTTACATTTGCAAGCAGAAAGTCCCAGGTTCAATTGCCCCATCTCCAGTTAAAGGATCTCAGGTTGCTCGGAGAGACTCAGCCTGAAACCTTGGAGAGCCACAGCCCATCAAAGCGCACCTTTGTGCTAGTTGGATCAACTTGGTCTAAAGCCATTTCACATGTTCCTAAAATACAGCCGTCAGTCACATGAACATATGAAGCCCCCTTATGCCGAATCAGTCCATCCAGATCAGTATCGTCCACTCAGACTGGTGATGGCTCCTGGAGATGCTGGGGATTGAACCTGGGACCTTCTGCATGCCAAGCAGATGCTCCGCCACTGAGCCACGGCCCCTCCTCCAGAACTTAACTGTCCTACAGAACTCAATAGGACTACGTGCACAGGATTATTTTAAATCATCTTCAGAATTCTGGGTTGGATCCAGCTGGCTTTTCTACTCCATCTCACATCCCACATGGATGTTGTACGTGTGGGTCCCACAATCCCCAGCATTTTTGATGCTAAAAGGGGACCCCCCCCTTCCTTTTCCACCAGCAGAAATGCTGGCCGGAGCCAATTCTTTTTTTAAAACGCTGGAATATTACAGGGCGCAGAAAGGAAAGCTGGCCTTGTAAAGCCCAAAGCCAACATCCTAATCACCTGAAACCCGAATCAGCTTTCTCCAGCCAAATCCAAGCTGCTACCATCAGCTGTTCCTTGTGCACGCACCTCCCCCCACCCACTACATCAGGCCAGAACCCATTTGGGACCACACCCCCACAAGGGGGTACAGTCCCCACATTTCAGGAAGCCTTACGCAGAGACAAGAGAACTGGACCGTTAAAGTAAGGACCGAGAGCGCTAATAGCACAGGCTAGCCTAATTTCCTTACATCCTGGAAACTAAGCAGGGTCAAGCCCTGGTTACTATTTGGAAGGGAGGCCACCAAGGAAGACCAGTGTTGCTATGCAGAAGTAGCGAATGGCAAACCACCTCTGCTCATCTCGAAAACCTCATGGTCCTGTGGTTACCGTGAATTGGTTGGAACTTGACAGCACACAGTTATTATTAAGGACCCTGAACATTTGAAAGGAAGAATAGACAAGCAGTGGGGGAGGACCTTCTCTACACTTTCCAAATCTCACGCGAAACTGGGGGAAGACCTTCCCTCCACTTGCCAAATCTCACCAGAAAGTCCCTCCCCCAGCCATTTTTGTTCATCTGGGTCCAGAGCACAAGAATTAAGCCTGGGTTTGCAACAAAAGGGAGGTGTGAAAAATATCTGCTGGGGAAAACAATCAGCAGCCAGCTACAGATATTTGCCCTGTCATCATGTCAACTCAGCCACTGCAAATTTGGGAATGCGTGCTTGTTGCAGTAATGTCTGATTCAACTCTGAAACCAGACTAATAAGGCAGGTGGTTGGTGACAGTTACAGGAATTGTCCCTCCTTCATTAAACCAAAAGAGGAAGTCTCTTTTCAAGCCTTTGCTGCCACCTACTGGTCACCTTCCAGAGTAATTCTCTTAGGCCAGAAGAAAACTGCGTGGACCACTTGAAGGTTTCTCCGTTGACCGCTTTGCCATCAAATTAAAGTAGACGATCCTTCTGGTATCATTAGACATCTTCTGCAAGTGTTTTAGTCAAACTTTGTTTTACTGTTCACAGTTCCACTTAGGACAGCTTTTCCGGGCCCCTAAATTAGGCGAGATCAGGACTCAAGCTGATAAACACAGATTTTTATTCTTTTCCCACCTTCATTTTAAATTTGTTTGAAAGACACATAATACAGGAGGGCTGACACAGTCTGCAGTATTGCTAGGAGGCAGAGTCTGCAAGCCAAAAAAAATCCCTTCCAAGTGCCCAGTTTCTCCTGTGCAAAAGTCTGTTTCGGAAGTAGCTCCTTCCGAGCGAAGTCACAAAAGCCTTTCCCCCATAACCTTGGCTCCATGGCTCATGATGCCGCTACCTGGGTGAGCGGGTCTTCGAGGTACTGGACCAAAGCCTGGGCCTAGGAAGACAGAGCAAGAGAGCAGCTGATTCAGGAACCTGGCAAACTGGAGGCACCGGCTCAGTTCACAGACAACAAGGCAAAGGACGCTGAAGTATGGGCTAGGTGTCACGTCTCCCTGGTGTGGTAGTTGGAACACTGGACTAGGATCCGGGTGACCCAGGTTCAAATCCCCATGGAAACTTGCTGGGCAGCTGATCACACTCTCAGCCTAACCTACCTCACAGAGTTGCTGTTGCGGGGATAAAGTGGAGGAGGGGAGAACAACGTTATAAGCTGCTTTGGGTTCCTATTGAGGATAATAATTAACTGATAATTATCGTATGGCTGTGTGTGTAGTATAGCCAGGAGATCCTAAGATCGTCTGGCAGCCAGAAGTTCTAGCTCTTGTAGCATTATGCACCACCAGGTGGCGGGCTAGACCTGTTTTTAAGGCAAGAGATGTTTCAGAGGTGGTTTGCCATTGCCTGCCTCTGTGTCACGCCCCTGGTGTTCCTTGGAAGTCTCCCATCCAAATACTAACAAGGGGGTGACAGTGCTTAGCTTCCAAGATCTGATGAGATCAGGCTAGCCTGGGCTACCCAGATCAGGGTAAAAAAGGCAGGGCATAAATACCCAAATGAATAAATAAAACAGACTACTGTTTGTGATCGGCTGGCAAGCCAGAATCAGAAAGCTGGGCGAGAAGTAGGCTTCCCTCATACAATGGTTTGGTGTAATGTTCGAATTGATACCCTCCCCAAAATTACTGGACTCTCTCTGCCTCACAGACGGCAGCAGCGAATGTGGCAGGCTGTGGAGGAGAGAGAAGTTGATGGTTTGGACTTTAAAAGTTCGCTGTTCTGCTGTGTTACTAAGCTCTATGTTTTTGTTACATGATGTTAACTGAAAAGTTAAAAAAAAAAAGTTTTATTCTCTCTGAATGATTGCGAGATCCATTCCAAGTGCTGCCCCGTGGAGCCCACAAGCTGAGGTTACACTGGCGGGGTGGGGAGGGGACTAAAGTGGACAAGGAATTGCAAGCTGCAGTTTGCCGGGTGTATCTAGAGAAGTGCAAACCACAGGTTGGGTTTCTGACCTATGTGGTGGTGGGAGCACTAAGGGAAAGTGCTACAACATATAATCTCTATAGGAAAAGATTCCATCCAAAGCCATTAGCTGAGTCTCGCATTCCAAACTAAATAAAAGTCAAGGTGAGTCTTGCTTGATTCCGGCTGACAGCCAGACAATTTGCTGTCTCTCCCTTGTCATTCCTTCATGGAAGAGATCCTACAGCAGGGGGTTGGGGGCCCTCCAGCTTGTCCCAGGAGCCAATGTGCTTTCTCCTTCCCTAACTAGGGGTGAGCTCCCTCTCTCTAGGGACTGCTGGCCTCTGCTCGCTCACATCCCACATGAAGGAGGGCTCTTGCTTTTCCCAGCCTCGGCTTCCGATCAGGCTGAAGCTAGCTCTGGCTGTGAGGCAGAAGTTGCCATTTCTAGGTCAGCCTCTGGCCCACCGGAACACCCGGGGGAAGTCATTGGCAGGTGGCCCTCAGTGTTCCCTCTAAGCTGAGTTAGTGTGAGCTAGCTGACAGTTTTTTTAGCTTCCAGCTCACACATTTTTGTCTTCGCTCAGGAAGGGATGGCTCCAGAGCAAACTAATTGATGCAGGAGCCAAATCGCTCGCTCACAACTTTAATGCCAGTAGCTCACAAAAGTAGAATTTTTGCTCTCAAGAGTCCACAGCTTAGAGGGAGCATTGGCACTGCCCGTAGCCAAGGCACAGAGCTTGCTGCCGTTCCACCTCACAGGGTTCTAAGGGATGGTTAGCCCACGCCACGGTTTAGGCAGCTACAGCACTTGCATTCCAAATAACCGCTTTTAAACACGATCTGCTCCGTTTTCACCTTTCAAAAAAGCGTCATGTGACCAGGCTCGCTGGCTGGTGCCTGTCTTTCACATCACCTGACACCTGATCCTTTCAGCTGGAGATGCCGGGGATTGAACCTGGTGCCTTCTGAATGCCAGGCAGGTGATCTCCTATTGAGACACGGCCCCTCCCCTGGGAAGCACACCGCCTTCTCAGCTAACGGAGGGGAAGGGCCTGCAGCACCCAAACTTCTGCCGCAGTTAACTGGGCAGTCTTCTATGGGCCACAAAGTTCTTTGCTGACTTGGCCGCAACAGTCAACATGGCAACAGCTCCCCGCCCCAGCTAATAATGACCCTTCCTATCCCAATAACCCCACCAGAAGAAAGGGCCTCCAATTACTGAAGGTCGGGCTTACCTTTGCTTTCAGCATCCCGAAGCCCACTGTCTCCTTTGCATACATGCACAGCAGTAAGTTGGCAACTCTGGTGATTGCGACGCGGCCCTCCTTGGGTTTTTTGGGGGGGCGGGGAGGAGAGAATGAAAGAACATAAGGACGAGCGGCAAAAGCAGAGTGAATTACAAGCGTTCGATTCACAAATTGCAGAGCGGACAGGACTCTCACCCTGGAAGCACTGCTCTTTTCCAACTGGGACAGACCTCCAGCCAGGAACACACGGAAGCAGACAGGCACTGCGGAAGGGGGTGCTGTATCAGTAGAACTTCTGCCTTCCTCAGTCCTTACAGGAATGCAAGCTTTGCCTCAGGGCTGTGTGTGTTTTGGGGGACAACCCCGCTTCTGACAGCGAGGCAACACGGAGGCAGATCCTTTTTGTCTCTCTCTTACGGTAGCCGTCGGCCACACCACAGCTATGATGTTTGCTCTGCCATCATTGGCCGTTGCTAGGCTACACAGAGACAGACAAACTTCATCCCTCCTTGACAGGGCTTCCCTCCCTTCTATAAAGTAGTATAACTCATATAACCGGATTCTCACACTCCACAGAACCTATTTTCATTTATTTAAATATTTATACACCCCACCTTTCCTCGTCAGCCAAGGCAGGTTACAAAAGATAATTAAAATTTTGCAGAATAAAGGCCTAATATCCCCTACCCAGATACCTGCCTCCCCCCTTAGAAGATGCCTGCCTTCATACCCCCTATGAAAGCCCCTGGCAGACCAGCAAGGTTTGCAGCATCAGACTCTTGGTTGCTCCTCCCCTAGACCATTTCTTTCTGTATGCAAACATGGAGCAGCTGCTGTTAAAAGTGAGCACATTTGGACGTACTGCTGGATCCAACCAGGAAAGGGACATGCCAAGTAGCCCAAAGCTTCCCAGGGAGTCGGTGGCAGAGCAGCCCTTGGAAACGGTCTGCGGTACGTACCATGCAGTCCATGAGGATGAACTTCAAGTTGTCTTCGTTGAATGCCTGGTGGCCGTTCTTGTCATAGGCCACCCAGATGTTGCTGGCAATGGCTGCCGTGACTCTGGCATCCGTGTCTCCGTAACCGGAATATGCAAGGAGAGAGCCCTCGTTGTTCAGGAGCCTGGAAGAGAAAGGAGATGCAGGGCAGAGAGTATATAAGGATAGGAGCGTCAAGCAGAAGGGTGGAAAGCACCTGTAGTGTGGAGACAGAACCGCCTCGTATGCCCAAGTATTACTTTGGTCCAATAAAGACAGCCCTGCAGGATCAGACCAACAGTTGCTCCAGCTCTGAATCCACATTAGCTATCAAAGCTACCAAAATGAGGGGGGGGAATCTATGAAACGCGAGACAATTAAGGAGCATCGGAGTAAGATTTGTTTGTTTTATCAGTTGCTAGGTTCCATTTAGCTATCACAGCTACCAAAATGGGGGGGGGGGAATCTATAAAATGCAAGACAATTAAGGAGCATCAGAGTAAGATTTGTTTGTTTTATCAGTTGCTTTAGAAGACAAGAGAGTGGGAAAGATATTAATTCCTGTTGGATTTTACTGACAGAGACATTTTTGAACATTTTTACTGTATGTGTAGTTGAATCTCAGTTTTTCTCTTTTCCAAATACACATTCCTATCACTATTTCCCATGTATTGGATTTTTAAAAAGTAGATTTTATAAAAACACACAAACATCACAGGTATAAAAATAACTTAAAAAAAAACACACCAGGAATTTCTATAATTTAAAACAGTGGTTAAAACCCTCAGAAAACCTGACACAAAAGTAGGAAACATTCAAGGGGTGAAGTACTACTTTACAAAATGCATGATGGAATTCAGGGCCCCAATAGCTTCAACAGTTGTCAAAAGGCATTACACAAATCCATGCCTACCTGGACAAATCCACGGCTTAGCCTAACAGGGCAATTCTGGTGGTAAAATGGAGTGTGGGAGAGCTGTGTGTGCTACCAAGAAACTCTTGCCAAAAGGATGGGACAAAAAACCCTTTAAAAGTATTTTTAAAAAGATAAAGACGCTGCCCACATAGGAACCCTGGCACATGGATGTTCTGAACTAAGTTAATAACATCCTTCGTCAAATTTTTCCATCATTAATTTGAAACACATGGAGCTGTTTCATACCAAGTCAGATCCTTGCTCTTATGGAGACTAGCACTGTCTACTCTGGCAGCAGATCTCCAGGCTTTGTACAGAGTTCTTTCACATCATCCATTGGAGATGCCAGGGAATGACCCCAGGATCTTCTGCACACAAAGCCAGATGCTTTCTCCCCGTGCCCCAGCTCTAGACTGAAGCTACTGGTCACCTTCACACATATTGTGGCCAGTGTTCCCTCTAAGCTGAGTTAGTGTGAGCTAGCTCACAGTTTTTTAGCCTCCGGCTCACACATTTTTACCTTAGTTCAGGAAGAATGGCTTCAGATCAAACTAATTTATGCAGCCGCCAAATCACTCACTCACAGCTTGAATACCAGTAGCTCAACAAAGTAGAATTTTTGCTCACTGGACTCCATCACTTAGAGGGAGCATTGATTGTGACACTGTATAAGTCAGCTAACCTACCTAAAAACAAACGGTCAAAAGGACTTTCTTTTTGTAGGTAACACCACTGACATTACCAAGAACCTGAGAAGGGGACACAGGCGGGGTTCAAGTCCTAATACATTTTCATCCCATCCTCCCGCACAAGGAAGTCAGGGCAGCACTCACACCTCTCGACAACAGTCACGTAACCCCGACAACAGCCCCGTGAAGTAGGTCAAGCTGAAGCAACTGGCCCAATGAGCTTCATGGCGGAGTCGAACCACCACAACGCTTCCGCTAAGCCCCTTTTAGAACTGTGGTGGTTTCTATTGGAGCCTGAAACCTCCCAACGACTCACAAGGTGCTCTGAACTCCTCCTGTGTTGGCCTGGCTCAGCACTTGCGTCAAAGCCTTGGGGCGCAGCATTGCAATCCTTTTCCTAAACCGCAGGATAGGCGCAAACCGAACCGGGGAGAAAACGCCGCAGCAGGTCAGCTTCCTCGCGTCAGCTGATTTACTCTGCGCCCCCCACGCAGTTTTCATGCTACAGGCACTTCCGGCTCTACAAGATACAATTGTTTTCGCTCTTCCTCCAGGCTGCAGTTCCCCCACCGAACCTGACGGTGGCGCTGTGACCCAATATTGGCAAATAGGCGCTTCTGCCGGGCCACTTCAAGCCTGAAGTTTCTCTTCCCATCCGAATCGCGACGCCTTTTTTAAAAAAATCAAAGCTGTTGTAGACCACTCCGATGGCGGATGAGGCTCCCTTAGGGGAGAGGGAATAAAGATTTAGAGAGACGCGCCATGGCAAACCCTGTATTTATGTCCGTTTTTAAAATTGAATTTTCTTCCTTACGCTAACCCTCATTACAAATTATAAGCTTTCACCACAGAGGTGCCAAAGCCTAGAAGCAATGCCTCTCTGTGCGCGCATGGCCAATGGCGGCCTTTTCTGTATCAATGGCTACTGAAGGCACTTAAAATGTTTTAATCAAACTTTTTTGCTTCTCTAAATTGCATTCAAGGCTTATTTGGTTACTACCATAGAGGCGCCGAGGCCTAGAACTATACAGCTATAGAATATCCATGGTCATAGAGCCGCGGCCAATGTTGACACGGCTTTTGAACGTGACTCATCATCTATATATAGATTCAACGTATTGGCTGTACTTTGAACGTCTGAGGTAATGCATAGAAACAATAGAGTGCCAGGCACACAACCGTCGCACTTATGACCACTTCCGGTTAAAATATTCTCCCGCGTCTTAATACTTTCCTATACAAAGCCGGTTTGTTGGGGGATAGAGGCTAACGTCTAGAGCGTTCCCACTGCCCGCTTGCTTCCGCTTCAAGAAAGGGAGGAGAAGATGGTGGGTTCCGCTTTAAGTTCGGAAGCTGACTGAGGAATCGGAAGTGTCGCCACCGCTCCCTCGGTGCGCATTGGCCAGGAAGCCGAGGAGGCGGGAATCTTGCCTCTATGGTGGCGGCTGGTGGCGGGGTCCTCTCTGTCTCCTTGTTGTCTGTGGCCGGCCGGCGCCTTGGTTGGGAAGCGGGCGAGGGGGCGGTCGGTTGGCCGGCCAGCCAAGATGGCGGAGCTCA